GAGAGATCACCAAGGAAATGTGGCTTTATAATGACCACTCTATTGCCTCTTTTCCTTAGTGATTATAACGGGTTTTAGTTTGAACACATGGTATCAATGCTCCTCAACCCCTACAGTTTTGCCAGCCACTACTGACAACGATGAAAAGTTGTGTGTGTTATTACCAAGAACAAGGCCCTGTGCCTTCATAAGAATCACAACGGACACAAACAAACAACGGCAAGCAGTAGAGAGAGGAGGCCAGAAACAGAAGAAGTGGGGGGGGGGGGCTGGAGAAGGAAGGCTGAGCCCACCACCAGCTTTAGTCAAGGCCGCCGGAGAAGCAATGGCTAAACAGGCTGGGTCTACACAGAGTAGATGTATGAACGAGAAGGAAACACAGGTCTCAGTAGACAACTGGTTCGTGCAGAAAGGAACAAGATGCTAAAACTAACACAAATTCAAATCAAAACATGAAAAAAAAATGAGCTTGCCTCCTTCCCTGACCAAATGACAATGGTTAGATCGAAATATCGGAGAGGTTACAGGTGAGTGGATCCCTCTAGAGGTAAGCTGGCAAAAGTCTGTGAGGTTGGCGCAGTATTAAAATTTGACAGAGGTATTGAAGGCAGCCATACTCGCTGGCCAGAGTCTCTTTTCTGAGCAACAACACTCACAGAATTCCTTCCCTAGACACCAGAGAGTACTCGTGTGCCCGGACATGCATGCACTCATGAAAATCTGAAGGAAGACTATTTCCTGCTAGCAGGACATGCATTGTAAAAATGATAATATCTAGTTTATATTTTCAAAAGCACAAAAGGTATGCTTGCTAAAAGCACGTAGTGTTGTGGTGGTGAAATGTGTACAAATTGGTATCGAGAGCAAAAACAGCAGAACAGTTAGCTTTGCAGAAGGATAAACAGGCACATACAATCAGAAGGACCACACCAGAGGTCAGTAGCCACCATGGCTTGCAGGATCTAAATCGACTCTGCAGCATGCACCTTTGACTTTCCTTGTAATGGAAATGTCTTTCGCTCTACATCTGTAAATTGTACAAAGCAAAATTATGTTTTCCCCTAAATGCTTATGGAGAAAATTGCGTAAGTGAAGGATCCTAGGGTCCGTCAACAAGACACAATTCAGGTGATAGCCTGGTGCTATCACCAGGCACGTAGTCTTGGACCTCGGAGCAGCTGAAGGTAGCAGGCTAACCACCAACACCTGAGCAACCGACTTCCTTGGCACCCTGTCTTTCCTGCTGCAACTGGATGCTACACGGCAGCTCCCATATTTTCCTGTTCCCGTACACTCTGCCTCAGGCGTGGAGGCTTCACTTAGGAAAACCGAAAGAGGGAAAGAGATCCTGCTGTTCACTCTGGGTGTGTGAAACCACCCAGGACAGCTTCCATGGCAGTGGGCTTTACTCCTGAAGCTGTGAAACACAGAGGACAAAGTGGCATCAGAAAGCATGGCGGTCCACGTGCAAGGGGACAATAACCTGAGTCCCATGGCATCTTCCATTTCCTGAGTGCCGGCTCACACCAGCTCGAGGATGGGTCACCTCTGTGACGGGGAGAGAGTTGGAGTCACACAGCCAAGCACCCAAACACAAGTGTGTCTGTGGCCACATAATGTAAGAGTTGGCCTCTGAGGTGCTCTGATAGTGTGCCCAGGGCAGGACAGGGCAGGAAGCAGTGTCCTTCAGCCTATCGACGCAGAAGCCCCCTGTAGCAACTGGACAAGGCCCACCAGGGCAGTGTGAAACCACACCTTGTCCAGGTCATCTCTACAAATTTCCTTTGCTGAGACTATGTGTTTCAGAAGCCCCTGTAGGTCTCTGCAGGGTCTCGTGAACGCCAGTGGCTAAATCAAAGCCTCACAGCTTAAGGAAAACTCACTCAGAGGTTCTGAATGCACAAGCAACACTTCCCGAAGGCACCGATGCTTTTCCAGTTTTATTTCATTTTGTACGTCTGCTTTCCTAAGAGGTGTTGTTGGTGAGTATGTATGAGTGTGCTCATGTATGAGTCTTTTGTTTTTGTTTTTGTAACTCAGAGTCTGATTTTCAGAAGCAAAAAAAAAAAAAAAAATTGATGATGAATTTAAAGAAGATACAGATGATGAAGGAATCATTTTGTTCTGGAACATTCTCAGAGTGTGGGAGTCCTACGGGAAGTCCTGCAGTATTAAATGAGGGGGTAATACACACAAAGATTCATCTGGTTTTGATTCTGCTCACCAGGCCCACTAGTCAGGGTGACTGGTGGACATAGATACTCACACACAGATGTACACACACACACAGACACACACACACACACACAGAGGCATTCATACCCATGGGTGACTGGTGGACATAGATGCTCACACACAGATGTACACACACACACACACACACACACACACACACACACAGGCATTCATACCGGTGGGTGACTGGTGGACATAGATGCTCACACACAGATGTACACACACAGGCATTCACACACGTGCAGACGTAAGTGTGCTGTATCACAGACGATCCGAGAATAGCCTGAGTAAAAACCGTATCTTTGAGATGCTATCTTCTCAATGCACCTAGGCCAGGGCAGAAATGTGGGGGAGGGTGAGCTGGGGTGCTCTGGGACATGGGAGTGATCAATAGGAATAGCAACGCTTGGCACCTGGAGTTTCTCCTGCTGTCACAGAATCCCCGACAGAGCAGCCAGAGAGAGACCATATCTACCCCCCTGATGTCAGTCGGGAGATGAGGAACACAGATGTAGTTGGGCTGCTTAACTGCATGCATCCATTAAAGCCCAGCCAGGACAGAGATTACCTTTCCCTCATCATTCCCAGTTGGAATGCTGGGGGCCTCCTTAGTAACTTTCCAACTATCCAGAGCCTGCTTGCCTTGGACCTCCTTAGGAAATTTCCACATCCTGTCTGATGCCTAAGCTGCTCCATCCAATCTGCTGTTTGAATGTGCTCCTTTCATGTGTACACACACACACACACACACACAGACACACACATACACAGACACACACACACACACACACACACATACACTTGAAAGATTCAACTCTAGAATTGAGGCTTTCAACCTAAGAGTTGAAATTGTTGAGGGTTGGACTGTTTTTCTATGGGAACCCTATTGAAACCCTCTCCTGTAATATTTTTAAATGCAGGACACTATGTGCATATTGTGGGCTTCCTTAGGCTACCCAGAAGGCAATGGGTATTGCAAACGAGGTCACACAAACCTTAGGAGGGCTGAATTTGATCCCCTAACTGAAGCGCACTGGGGTTACAGGAGGAATAGCATCCTCCAGGGTCAATCAACCCTCAGGACTGCAAGAAGCCCTCAGAGTCATCTTCTGAATGCTTACACAGAGATGCTGACTCGTTTGCTAACATGTTTTTTTTTATTAGAACCCTCAATCTAACCCTGAAGCCCATGAATGTTCAGAGAGAAATCTAAGTTCCTAAAATACCTTTACCTCTCCCCAGCTGAAACACCACCTCCTCGACCTCAAATCAGCAGAGCCTCGTAAGACTACTTAGCAAAGTGCCTCATGGGTTTAGGCAGAAGGACGGAAGGAAAGGAGCTGAAGCACGGGGTACCTACGCTTGGAAGGACTCATTGACTTACTGAAACACCCAAAAACTCCAAGCATATTTGCAATCGGAAATGGCCCCTGTGGGGACTGTCTCAGCTTCAGAGGACATTTCCCTGTGCTAATTGGGGGCTTGCACTAGTGTAATTAAAGGTGTAGTCAACAGACTCAAGGCCTCTCTTCCCACTCCATAAACAAAGCTGTAAAATCATCTCATTACTGTACCCAGGAAACCCCACAGAAGTCACCTGTCACAAGGGACTGTGCTGACGGGCCTTTAAAGAATTCCCTGAAAGTAAATTCTAACACGGGGAGACATACAATGTCCTGTAACACAGAATTCAGCCATGCACAGAATCCTACACAAGAGCAAGCAATCGTCCCTAAATGTATCCAAGGGATAAAAATGCACTCAGACTTCAAACGTGACTTCTTCATTAACGTGGATCTTAAACAAAACACATTGGAGTGTTTGCCAAAATGCAGTCTGCCTTCTACAAGGCGGCCCTGTTCAGTTTGTGCCCTTTCAAGCAATTTAGGGAGCAGGGAGGAAACCACATAAGCTTCTACTCAAGCTATTCAAGATTTACAGAGAATATCTGATTTAATTATTTTGAAATATTAATAGAATTAAGAGTCTAAAGCAGAACGGGGGGTGGGTGGGTGGGTAGGTAGGGGGACAGAATTTGAAGTTATAAAACTCAGATCATTTCTACTCATTTCTCAGAAACTAGGGATGCATCGGACCCAATGTTAAAATTCCCCTCTAGGTCACAATGTTGCAGCTGTCCCTAATCCTTGAAGCCAGATAATGTAAACTCCTAAGATGACAAGGCTTTGGTGTGAGCCTTACTAGACTACAGAATACATCCTGAGAACTAAAAATTGGATGGAACTCTGAAACACAGTTTATATGATACATACTCAACGCGCTGGATACTAAACCAAAGAGGGTTTTCTAGCAAGCCCAATTTTCATGAGTTTTCAAGCTAAGCAGAACTCTTAGTGGACAGACCGCTGCCATCCCATCTTCATGACACAAAACTACAGACATAACGAACAACACGTTCTTTGGCTTCCTTTCTTTGTCTACGTAGGTTGTTGCTGATCACCAAAGCCTGGTAGCCTAGAATGCCGCTTAACAGGCCACTTCCACTGATTTCTCTACCTTCCAACGGTCTGTAGCAACCAGCCCACAATTAATTCTCCACCCGAGCAGATTTGTCTCCTTGTCAAAACCTGCCAGCTCTCTTCCAGAGACATTTACAAGAAAACCCATAGAACCAAACACAGCGGAGGACAGACCAACAGACCACTGCTTCCCAGGCCCCACACGCCACACACGACTAGGAAGACAGCTTACAGCGCACAGACAGCCAGGTGTTTTATTTGTGATAGACACGTAAGCCAACACACCCGATTACCACCATTTGAGTCCTCTCAGCACGGAGGTCCTACAATTCAAGACAACATTTGTCCATCCCGTCACCAACAGCCACCGGGTGTCTCCTCACTTCCACGTCTGGTGGTAAGGGTTCCCTGAAGTTCATCCAAACATTCGCCATTGACAGAGCCCATCTCTTTGACCCTGCCCTCCTCCGACCTCTGCTGTCGATTCGCATCAGACCCACATCCAGACACCGTTAGGAACAGGTAAAGAATCTGAAAATTCAGAAGTGCTCCAAAAAGCCTCCGCAAAAGTAATCCATGACGCTCAACAGAGAATTTAGAAACCCCATTTTTTTTCTGAGTTTGAAGTTTTTAAGCCTTGCGGATGGTCGGAGTAGGAAAAAGGAAATTTACTAGGCAGCCCAGAGGAAATCTTGTTGTCCTCTATTGTGGTAGGGGGGGGGTGTTGCCCAACCCTAACTTATCTGCCTTGATAAAGGAAGCCAAGCAAGAAGAAGAAGATTTTGTCAAATGTAGAGGAACCCTCTTCTTACCTTAATAGTGCTGGCCATAACGCAATCAAGTTTATTGATTGTTAATAAATGTTAATAATAATTATTGCTTCTCTCTGACCAGAAAGTAGTTTTGATGAGGTTGTTTAGAGCGGATGAGATTGTGCTAAGTCTGGGAAATGAAGTCAGCCAATGGCAGGAAGAGGTTTCTATTGGTCCTGGCTGCCCAGCCCAAAGAAACAGGATATTTGGGAGTGGAGAGATAAGCCACCCTGAAAACAATGTTGTTTTTCTTGATGATATGCAGCCAGGAGAATTTTTTTTAATTAAAAATAAAGGGGGGGGCATCAATTGGCTGGGACTGTCACAGCAGGTGTGACTCCGGGTGACAGGCTGCACTAGACCCAAGCAGGATACAGATGTGTGAGGGTTCTGCGTGGCTGCACAGCGGAGGTGGAAGGCACCTCACAGCCTGGGTACCAGTTCTTCTCAGCCCCCTCCTCCCAGGAATGCCACCAGCCGGCTAGGGTACAGGACTGACGCTAACTAAGACCTGCTCTGTGTTACTACACAGTCATGTTTATTAGGGGCAATTTGCTGGCCAGCTGTCAAAAGGGCCTCGTTTTATTCAATGTCTCCATAGACTGTCACAGAACTGCTTCCAGGGTTCCCCTTCCAAACACAAGCAGTCATTATTATTTGCTCCCCAAGAAATGAGTTCAAAATGCAGACACCTAGAGTCAAGGTAGCTAAGAAAACTAAAGAAAAAAAATAATAGACACATATCAAAACCTTGTTTTCAAACACGCGCTTGAGGACTGCGGAGACGACTCGGTCAGTAAGGCCTTTACTGCGCAAGCGTGAGGACCTGAGTTCAATCCCCAGAACCCATGGGAAAAAAAAAAAAAAAAAAAAAAAAAAAAAAAAAGCTGGGCGTAGTCCCACATTCCTTCAGTTCTAACGGGGGGAGTCAGAGACAAGGCATCTCTGAAGCTCACTGGCCAGACAGCTGGTGCCAACCAGCTGCTTCCAGGCCAGCATCTGAAGACTAACCTCCAGGGTTGACTGTTGCTTTCCCCATGTACTCACCTGAGCAGACAGCTCTGCCTATATATAGGCACACGTATGCTTATGCACCCCCTCCCCCGCACAACTAGTTTTTACATTCTAGAACATAAGCCCCACTGACACAACATGCCAGCCCACCCGTGCTGCCCACCACGGATTCCAGTATACAACTCTGAGCTACCAAGAAGGAGGCCATGAGACATTCTCATTAAGCGTATAAAGCTCCAGGTGAAGGTTCGGGGCCTCTGAAGGAGGCAGAGCTGACATGGGCCTTCAATTACTCGTTTTCAGGAAATTACTTGTTCTGTGGAAGAAACAAAAGTTTGCTTTGAATTGAACCACATGAAAAGTTGGACCAGTAACACAACGGTCTCATGGGGACCCGAGGAACACAATGGCCTGAGTCACGGACAATTCTTGGTTACTGGGGTAGACAGGCAGTGAACTGAATTCATTCAGACTTTGGGCCAGCTCTGCCCGGATTTGACACACTAGGGCCCCTTTCTCTCGTTTGCCAGCCTCGTCCACCTCCATCCATGTGCGCTGGGATTCAAATAGAAGGATAAAGAAAAGATCCGGAGGCAGAAGAGAGTAGGTGGATCCCAGTGGTCCAACACCCACCTAACCACGGAGGGAGACGTTAAAAGCAAGGAAGGAAAACACATAAGGACACTAATTCCAGTAAAAGTCTTGGAGGCTTGGAGGTTCTCAGCACCTACATTCTGAGGGAATGTTGATTTCCGGCTCTTTTTATCTCTGAACAATGAGTAAGATGGCAGGCTGATTAAAACTGTGTTTTCCCCTAAAATTCTCAAAAGTCCTGAGTTGTTTCATCCACCCGGGAAGCTTCTCACAAGAAACAAAGTAGCCATGGCGCCTGGGTACTCCACTCATCCAAGCTTCTCACAAGAAACAAAAGTAGCCATGGCGCCTGGGTACTCCACTCATCCCTAGGCTTTTCTTCTCCTGTCTGAAATCTTCACTGCTCCCTCCCTTCAGTTAAGAGGAAGGGTCCACCGGGTGGCTTTGCCAAGTGCAGGCTTTTGAAGGGCTGGCTTCTTTGCAATAAAATAGCCATAGACGACCTTGCCTCCTGGACCTACCAGGGTTCACATAGCATGGGTCTGTGTCCTGTGGCAAGGACAGCAGGCTCCTTATGGAGGTCTAACTACTCCCACAACCTGCCCAGGACATCATGGTGTTCATCTAATCCAAGCCAAATTGTCAAGAGCAAAATTTTTAACTTTGATTTTGAAATAATGTCTACCTTACTGGAAGGTTACAATACAGAGAGAACCCCCCCGCCCCGCGCACACAGACTTCAACCTTCTGTTTTCCCACCCGTCCAACACTCATGTAAAACACACACATCCTTAGTAGTTGATAAAATACTATTATTTGCTTGGATAGTTAATTATAAAAAGAAACCAGACACTATAGTTCTTTTACATGATTTCTAAAGATTCTGCCTGGAACCCTCACTGTTCCCAATTCGGAACTCCAATGGGAGTCTAAACAGTGACCAGATAGCACAATAATTTGGGGATCAGGCGGCAACCCCTTTGTTTAAAAAACCCCTCGTTCCTAATTACAAAACGCTAGCTGATTTTCACCTTCAAAGAGAGTAATTCCTGATGCCAAGAATAGCAAAGCAGCCCTTGAGCTGGGTCCTCCCAGGATACTGAATGCAAGGGCTCCTCCCATAAATTTGCTTGGTTGTTGGTAGCACAAAGAGCACCTATGAATTAGAACACCCTGATGGCCTTTCCCAACCCTTATCCTGGGGCGTATCTGAGATGGGGGAAACTCACTTCATCTTTCCTTAACTCTAAGTACGAGCTGTCGTGTGACCTTGGCTCCCAGTCACTCAGCAGTTGCAGACCGGCTGCCTCTCCCCAAGATGTTAACTTTGCAGGAAACTATCACCAGGCATTTCTAGTTAGACAGCAACCTGGCAGCCACTGAGAGTCATCCCAACATATGTCTGTCAGGGGTAGGTCCCTCCCCCCACACCCTTAAAACACAGGAACACTCTATTGGACCAGTAGGCCTCCGCAGTAGTCATGGACACCAACACCTATGCCTGAATGATAAAGTCTGTTCTTCATTTCTCCACCATGAGTCCATTACTCACACCCTCAGTTCCCTTTGATGAGTCTGCTCATAGATTTGCTCCAAATCAAAAAGGGAAATTGTGTAAAATACAAAACTGCACAGCTACACAAATAAATCATGTTATCTACTTGTCCCCAAGCCATGTTTCAGGCTCTGTCACAGTCTTACCCTTGTTTCCGCATTAACTACATGCGATATAGTGGGTCAGCGCATCAGAGAGCACCTTGGATGAGGACAGAATTGCTCTGCGAATGTCACACGGCCATAGCAAGAGAATAATGGAGCACCTAGCAATGGGAGGGTACAATAATGGAATCAAAATCTCTGTTTCAGGCATCTACAAAAGAGAATATCCATCGCCACCTAAAATATGGCGGGATGGGCTGGGGAGATGGTTTGGTGGGTAATGGCACTCGATGCTCAAGCAAGAGGACCTAAGTTCTGACCCCCAACACCCACATAAGAAACAGGGCATGGCCACGCCCACCTGTAAATCCAGCACTGAGGATTTGCTGTAGCTCACAGGAAAATGGTGCCTTCCAGGTTCAAGGAGAGACTCTGTCTCGAGGCAACAAAGTCCAGAACAACAGAAGAGTGTAACTGCATGAGTGTGTACAAGCATGCACACAGACACACACACACACACACACACACACATGCACACACACGCTCTTTAGGAAAATTATGTAGTGTATGAATACTATTGATATGGAAAATGGCTGCCTGGTAAATTAAACAATCACCATGCAAAATTTTCACAGTTGTATTTTGTTTTAAAGGGGAAGACAGAGACCCCGGAAATAGAGACAAGCTATGCTAAATTTACAATGCCAGTGCAGAGAATCTTCCTTCCTTTGACTCTTTCCCTGATCCTTTGTTTCACTTAGACCTTCAAAGCACTTGCAATAGGCACTACCCAGCTTTTTTATATTAAAAGAGGTTAAGTAACATGCAACTTACTGTTTCACAAATACCCAAGGAACGCAAGCATGTCCTGTATACATACAACACATACTTCTGATTGTCAGACCCTTCTTGCATTCACATTGAAATGCACAGATCTCCTGGGGCTGGAGAGATGCTCTTGCAGAGGACCTGAGTTTGGTTCTCGACACCCATGGCAGATGGCTCTCACCTGCCTGTAACTCTAGCTCTGGGCATCCGACATCCTCTCCTGCCTCCTTGGGCACAATACATTCTCTCACACATACACATGTGAGTATTTCATTTTAAATGAATTATCATTTTTTAAAAAGTTAATTAAAAGAAAAGCCCAGAAGACACTTTTATGTGTGGTGGTGGCCATCCATGCAACAGTTCATCCTGTTGGCATTAGTGACACTTATTTCTCACACCGGAAACTCCAGTGGACACGAAACCCAGGACGACAGAGTGTCACCCACCACTGATCTTAGCATTCAGGAAGCCCATGTCAAGCTAGTCAAACACACACACACACACACACACACACACACACACACACACACACACACCCCTACAAGGGCAAGGTCCATGAAAGAAATACGGGTGTTTTAAGGCCAAAACAAATGCTGTACATTGTTCCTTGGATGACACATGAATGTTAAAGTGCATACTGTTTGGATTATTCACAAGAACCCTTCAAGAAGGATGTCCCAAGGATTTTTGCCAGGGACGTGCCTGAGATTAGAGATAAGAATCGGCCATCTGGAGCTGTCCCCACAATGGAAAACTCCAC